CTGGTAGCTTCGAGAACCATCTTGTCCTCTGAGAACCATCCAACCATCTTGTCCTCTGTCGTCCCCTTCTCCTTGTGCCCTCCATCTTTCCCAACATCAGGGTCTTTTCCAGGGAGTCTTCTCTTCTCATGAGGTAGCCAAAGTATTGGAGCCTCAGCTTAAGGATCTGTCCTTCCAGTGAACACTCAGGGCTGATTTCCTTCAGAATGGATAGGTTTGATCTTCTTGCAATCCATGGGACTCTCAAGAGTCTCCTCCAGCACCATAATTCAAAAGCATCAATTCTTCGGCGATCAGCCTTCTTGTAGCCCTGTTCTTCTATTGCAGCATGAACAACAACAAGTCTTGTGTCATGTTAAAGAATAACAGCAGAACCTTTTGTAGACTGCAGATCATCTCATGAGATGCATGAAGTGTTCTCCTGAATTGCAGGCTTATATGTTGCAGGCACATGGTTGAAATTACTAACATTAAGGACAGAGGCAAACAAAATGCAGCAAAAGTACAGGCAGTGGTCATTCACAATAGAGTTGTTGATAATACAGACATCCTGGCATTGGTAAGTCAATAAACAAATACAGAGTGAGTTAAAACCCTTTGTCTTGATTTGTTTTGTAAGTGATAGCATTGAACTTCTTGATGTAATTTCAGGCTCCTTTTGAGGTTCCTGTGTTCCTGTATAGCCACCTTAAGGTCAGCCACAGGGTGGCCAGGGAGACAGAAATGTTCTCTCACTGCTTTTTGAATATTGCCATTTCTGATGTCTGATAGGTGTCCATTTATTATTTTGCATGGAGATTGGCCAGTTTGCTCTATGTAGAAAGGCATTGCTGGCAGATAATCTCTTATATCTCATTGGAAGATGGGCAAATGCATGAACCCCATATGTTGTATATGACATTATTAGGTCCTATAATAGTGTTGCCAGGGTAGGCATGAGGACAGAGCTGACATCTGCCTTTGCTGCAGCGTCTAGTCTTTGTGTCTGTATCTCTGTTTTTTGGCCATGTGTTGCTGGCCAATAGCTGTTTTGGGTTGGGAGGTTGTCAATAAGCAAGAACAGTCCTACCACCTAAGGCCTGGGATAGGAAAGTGTCATTATTCAGACTGAGCTGTTGATCGTTGATGATATAGGTGTCAGTTGTTTCAGCTGTTATGTGACAAGGGCTCTGCCATTTTTCCTCTTCCACATCTCTCCTGTAGCAGGCTATTACTGAGTACAAACCTGGCCTTGCTGGTCTTTTCCCCCCAGCAAACTAAAATGCTAGAGCAATGGCAATTCAACACACTAAAATACTAGAATAATAGCAATTCATTATTTGAAGTCCCGTTCCAAAGATATCCTCTCAATTAACAATACATACTAATAAATGGGGGGGGTGGTGTCTTAGCTGCAGGGAGCCCTACTTCTGCACGCACTATGCACACCTTTAAATTTCCCACTGTGTGGTTGCTGTGTGTTTTCTAGGGCCACAAACACTACAACACAGTTTTGTTAGTTGCCAACAGGCCCCCAAAATTGACAGCTTGACAGTTAAAACAGGCACGTGCAGGAGTGTAAATCCTAGGAGAAAAAAAAGGTTGTGTCAGTGTGGAAAAGAAAACAATAATGTGTGTTTTCTGGAAAAACTGAGGGATGCCATTTATATTCTCGAACTATGAATTACGTTAGTGTCATCAAAATTTAATGACTATTTTGTATGTTTGTAATGCAGGGGGCTTTGGGCTTCTTTGTGTTGTCTGAGAAGGTAACATAACCCTCACATTAATATTATGCAGTGTTTTAATGTTAGATGCCAAGTGCTAAAATATCTGCAGCAAACACCCAAAAAACGAAGCCATTCACATCTTTAAATTTTGTTTTGTTTTGTTTTCAAATAAACTTGCCATGTTCCTGAGTTTAAGTTGGGACTTCAGCATGTAATATTACTGTTGTATTTTATGGGGTACACAGAGTTTTCAGAATAACTTACACAACCATCTTGCTATTTCTTCATTCCCTTCCTTTTCATCCTTCCAAATGCTAGTTACAGAGCCTCTCCTTCCATTAATCCTCTGTGTGCTTCATGAATTTTCAGCATTTGTTCTCCCTGGTAACATAGCATCTTATGCAGGTTGCACAGCTACCTTAAAACAATAGCTAGATAGATGTTTACAAAGGACAGCTGCCAGTTGCACATTGTGAATTTGGGTTCTGGTGGTAAAATGTCAGCTTGTAGCTGAAACACAAGCTGTGTGTGATATATATGGTATTAATAAATAAACTGCAGAGCTTCGCAGCTGCAGTACCTTGAAACAGGATCTGGTGAAATGTAATAGGTTTGGTAGCACGACTGCTTGCTCTAGCTGTGCTCGTTTAAGGGCCAAGACTTGATTGGCAGCTGTGGCATATAGCAGTCATTCATCTTTGCTTTTCTAACGACCTTAGAATGGTTGTTGTCGATGTGTTAAAATTAATTATTACAACGCTGCAGCGTTTTTCTTCTCTTCCCCCCCCCTCCCCGTCCACCCTCAGCAAACCTCTTGGGCGGTTTAATTCTTTGAAAATTAAACTCTTAAGCTGTTTAATTCTAGAGTTTGTGCTTAGGATGCTGTATCAGCAATGCGTATGCTAATTCTTATGTTCAGAAGATTTAAAATGCAGCTACAGAAAACTCCAGGTGCAAATTTGGCATAGGAGGGACAGGCTTGAGGAGACCATGATTTACATCTTTGTAATTAGTTCGTGCTCAGTTCATTTACTCTCAGAGAAAGGGATTTTCCATGTCTTCTTCTAAAACGGATTAGTCCCAGATGATACCATTAAAAGGTCTTTCGTGGAGTTGGCATCTGGAAGGCTTTGTTTTGTGATGGGGTTGGGTAGAGAGGGAGAGGGTTGAGCTGCAGGTGAACTAGGAATGTGAACAGCCAGTAGGAAGTGCTGCTATTGAGCAGTCGGTAGAGATGCAAGGAAATGTGTATATGCATAACACAAGTAAGGGAGTGTCTATTAATATGTACTTCAAAATTGAGTTGATGCCCAGTGGCATCACCCTACATGTGTATGCAAAGGTAAAGGTAAAGGGACACCTGACCAAAGGGACTCGTGACCGACTTTGGGGTTGTGGTGCTCATCTCGCTTTATTGGCCGAGGGAGCCAGCGTACAGCTTCCGGGTCATGTGGCCAGCATGACTAAGCCACTTCTGGCGAACCAGAGCAGCACATGGAAATGCCGTTTACCTTCCCGCCGGAGCGGTACCTATTTATCTACTTGCACTTTGACGTGCTTTTGAACTGCTAGGTTGGCAGGAGCAGGGTCCGAGCAACGGGAGCTCACCCCGTCGCGGAGATTCAAACCGCTGACCTACTGATCGGCAAGTCCTAGGCTCTGTGGTTTAACCCACAGCGCCACCCGCGTCCCATGTGTATGTAGGCCATACATATTTGGTATCGTAGCTTCTATCATGGGAAGGTACAACCCGAGAGAGATACAACATGGGCCAAGTTAGTTCTAGCTGCTCAGCTCCACACACGTACCTCTGAGGCCCTTCGTGGGAGCTGTTGCCAACTGTCAACCAGAGAAGGTCTACCTCCATCAGAAGCTAGTGAGTTCAAGCTGCTTGGCCCTGTTCAGAAGTGATCCAGCGGACTCTGCTGCCTTGTAGGCACAGGCTGAAGGGTGACACCAGGGAAGACCAAAGATGAAAAAAGGAAATGCCACCAGAATTATCCTGGCACCAGAGGAACACCATGATTTCTGTTATTGGTTTTTATTATGTGAATCTTTTGTAAGCCACTTTGAAAGCTTCTCAGAGCTATAAAGCAGGTTATAAGCATTCAAGCTAAACAACCAAAACATAAACAGGTGGGGGATTTATAAAATCCTACTTCCTGCCTTCATATATTTTGATATATAGCACATCCATGCCATACATTTAAAGCATCATCATATGACTTTAAACAGTTTTGGCCTCTCCCAAAGAACTGTGGAGATTGTAGTTTGTTAAGGGTGCTGAGATTTATTCGGAGACCCCCTATTCCCACCATAGAGTGACTGGATGGCAGGAGAGATATTGATTATCAAACTACTCTGTCAAGTGTGTGAGGGGAATACACTTAACAACTCTCAGCCCCCTTAAGAAACTTCCCAGGATTCTTTGGGGAAACCATGAGCCATAAATTTCAAAGTTGTATAATAGTGCTTTAATTGTATAGTTTGTATAGTTTAATTGTATGGTTTGCATTGTATTAGAGAAGAGTTCGGGCAAGCATCACAGAATTTATTTTTCCACTGAGCTTCTTTCTATTCATTAAATTCTTACTACCCTCATTCGGTTGAGATTTGATTTAATTCTCCATTTCAAAAAAAAAATGCCAAAATGTGTTGGATTTTGGCTTTCCTGATCAAAGAAGCCGGGTATTGTAATGCATTGTTCATATCCCCCAAAGAGTGGGAGATATGCAAATTTGTTGGATGAACAACACAAGTTTCAAAAAGATATTTGTGCTGGTTTTTATACTTGGATTATTCCCATCCATGTTTCTGAAACCAGAAATCTCTTGTCAATAGTGATGAAGTGGGTTGCTGAAGTACAATGACGTTTCTGTCTGTCAATCCGCTTATCTCTTTTGACTTTTAAGTTGCCCCTCACTCTCCCCTCCCCCTTTTCCAGCCCTGCTAAACAATCAGCTATCTAATGTTTGCTGAAGGCAGCCTGCCCCCCAACTATGCCATTATCTCCTTGGTGGTCTTCACGTTTTGGTGACCACTTATTGGTCCAGGCCTTCTGGGAATCTTTTGCTTTCACTGTAGATAGAAACCATCTGTTGCCTGTCTTTTCTTTATTGGGAGATTATTAGTATGTGTCTACCTAGCAGTGGAACTCTAAGCTCTTGGCTTTTTAAACGCAGCATCGGCAAGCCCATGAGAACTAAACAATCTTGCTTACACAGGAGAAGGAGTAAACAGCTTTGGCAAATAATTTCAGACGCTGCCATTAGTGTTTGTAAAAGATATAAACAGAACTTGTGAAAAATAAAATGTGTTTGGGTTTAAGCATGGAAAGAGAGAGGGGGAGATCCAGAGAGATGTTACAACAACTTGCTTCCAATATTGACTTTTTTAAAAAAACACCCCTAACTCTCTCATACAAAGAAGGGCAAATCAGAACTCTTTTTTAATGCTAAAAGTTGCACTCTTTCTTTCTGGCTGTTGGACATGCCAATATGTAAACATTTCAGGGAGAATTTTACACCACCTCATCTTTATGTCAAGCAGCATTTAATGGTTGAATGATCCCGTGCCCCGGGTCTTGGCAGCTATCCTCTGGGGTCCAACTTTTAGGGATTACATTGACAGTCAGTCAGTGGACCATGTCCAACGTAAACTAGACTAGGACCATTTAAAATCAGTTACTATCAACAAGTCAAATTAGCTTTATGTAGGTTACAGGCTTTTTCTCCGAAGATTTCAAAACAATGTGGAATTTTAACCATCACGGGACTTTTTCTCTCATTTGTGTTTTCAGAAAAGTTCCTGAAACATCAGATTGCGCACTGCTTACCTGATTCAATGTAAAGTTAAGCAACTTGCACTACTTATATTTAATAAATGAATCACGAGCTTTCCCCCTTTCCTTCCTAGGTGGAAATAACTCTTCAAGATGTCAATGACAACCCGCCAGTGTTCCCTACAGATATGCTTGATCTGACTGTAGAAGAAAATATCGGAGATGGTTCTAAAATAATGCAGCTGACAGCTATGGATGCTGACGAGGTAGGATATTATTGCTTCTTTGAAGGGTAGCAGGACACTTCTGTCACAACAATGTTGTTAGGCATAGATTTCCAGCCTTGTTTCTACTCCACCCACTGATTTTTGCCTGGATGACGGTGGCATGGAGTGTAAAAATGCAAGTGTTTAATTTTTTTTCTGTGAGTTGAGACTGCCCATTCTATCCCTTTGCGCCTGATTCCAGGACTTTTCAGAACACCATGTGGTCTCTTGTTCTCAGAGACTCCCCTAGTGGGGACCTTACTTAAATTAATTTGATTGCCCTCATCCATCACAGGACATCGCTTGCTTTGCTTTATCTAACATACAATGTTTTCTCTCCTGTGTGTCTGTCCTCTACTTCCTATTTTCTAGTCTCTCATCTTGCCTACCTTTCATCCATCCCCTCTCTTCCTTTTGTAGACTTTCCTTTCCTGTTTTTCTGCTCCTTCTTTCTGCTGGGAGATGGTTTAAACTCTCCCACATGGCAGCCTTTTAACAGTTGCCGGATGCCCCTCCCTCTTCTCAACATGTGGTACACCTGAACAGCTCCTCTTCTGGTCTCAAGAGAGCCAGTGTGGTGTAGTGGTTAAGAGTGGTAGTCTCGTAATCTGGGGAACTGGGTTCGCGTCTCCGCTCCTCCACATGCAGCTGCTGGGTGACCTTGGGCCAGTCACACTTTTCTGAAGTCTCTCAGCCCCACTCACCTCACAGAGTTTGTCGTGGGGGAGGAAGGGAAAGGAGAATGTTAGCCGCTTTGAGACTCCTTAGGGTAGTGATAAAGCGGGATATCAAATCCAAACTCTTCTTCTACATACTGGGGGCCACACAGAGACCAACCCCACCTGCTACAGCCCCCTCAGATAGATTCATGACATTTTGCAGAAATGTGTGAGGTGGCAGATTCCTAAACATTGGAGAGCCACATTGGAGGTTTAAGGAACCATCCACCTCTGTACAGATTTCTTCCTTTTCTCTGTGTCTGCCTTGCATGGCATGATTTTATTTATTTATATCTCTTGTCCTCTTCAGACATTGTCCCCTCATGTTCTTTTTTGACACAGGATCTGAGTGCTGCATCTTGATGTTCATACAAGTAGCTTGACCACCTATAGTGCACATACATTCGTTTGCAATAAGGTTTCCACATGTCCCAGAGTTCCAAATCGTATGGAAATCTTCATGCGTCCAGCTGTATCTGTGAAAGCTATGTCACGCAGTCATTTATGCTAATTGCATAGTCACCAGTGGCAGGGCTATCCAGCATGTCCAAAGTCGAGTAATTTGACAGTTATTAATGCCTGAAGGAAGTTTCTGTCACTGTGTCTATCTCCAAGAAAGCCTCTAAGCTTCAGTAGAGTGTTAGAAATCCATGACATACAAAAACCTCTACTTGAAATCTGTAGTGACATGTTTTAAAAAGTGTGCATGCCAAATGATGAGACTAGGTTAAGACTTCTTTGAAACCCATTGCCTAAACGTGTAAAAGATTGTTTCATATGACAGAATTTGATTGCTGCATTTGGCTAATCTTCAACTTAATGGGATCAAGGTGGTCACTATTTTGCAATCTGCACAGAAGGTGTAACATTTTCTCTAGTGCCATGGGATGAATATTAATGATAGCTATGATATCTCACAGCACAGTACTACTGTACTTCAAATGTGTTGACAGGAAGTTTCTAGATTTTCTTCTTACTTGCCTAATTTATAGTATTTGCTCCTTAGCCACAGCAGCAGTTATGGTAGAAGAGTCTATAGCTGAGTCACATTGTTGTAAAAATGAAGTCTCACACTGGGATGATAAAGAATGTAACACTTGAGTAATATAAGATTATTATTGAAAGAATCTGTTCAAACATTTTAATTATACTTTTACGAGTAAGTGTTCTACACACTGCACAGACATTGAGTATGAAAGTAATACTGTGGAATATATCCCCTGAGTAGGCAAAGAAGTAAGACTACAGTGAATTTTTGTTCACAGAAATGTGGAGGCAAAATAAGGGTTTTCAGAGTCAAAGATTTCTCAAACCCCTTGCTTCTCTCTTTATGTGTCATCTCCTGCCTTTTCACAACTACTGCAAAGTGCATTTTTAAAAAAACAATTTCTTCCTGAGAGAATTGCAGTCTATCAGGGATCATGTAGAAAATGTTACTTAGCCACACATCCAGTTACATTGGTCAACATAACACAGTCAATCACAGTAAAAAGTAGACGCACTATCTCACTCTGATGAGGCTTGATGATGTCATCACATTGACAAATCTGCTTGACTACATGGCTTTGAAGTCCATTCAGAGTGAGAGCAGTGCTCCCTGCCATACCATTGAACAGATAAACATTTTGTTAGTTTTCATAGTCTTGTGAATCACCAGAATGAGGAAGTGTTTTTTACAAGACAATGTTCAGTATGAAACACAACCCTCTGCTTCATATCATATGAAGAAACAGAGAATGTACACCATATAACAATCTAATCCAATACAAAAATGTGATAATAAATCATAACTTTAAAATAGGCAACTTATATCAAATAAAGTAATATTCAACAATCCATTAGAATAGTATAGACTAATATTAAATACCAGCATATAAAAATGAAACAGAAATCCACTCTTAACAAGTATAAAAAAAAATCTAAACTATAATCAATAAAACAACGGCAAGTCACAGTGCATAAAATAATATAATGCAAATTGAGAAGCAGAGACTGGAGGGTGGGGCAATACAGGTGGAAGAAAGCCTTGCCTGATGAAGTCTCTCCCCTCACAGTTCTTCCTTAACCAGCATCTCTTAACCAGGTGCTATAGTGGAGTAGGGGTGAAGAACTGGATTCCCCACTCCCATAGGATGGGTAAGAAGGGCTGCCCACTGGTCAGTCACCTGACAACACATCACATGGCCCATTTTTGCAGAGTGCTGGGTACAGAAGGGGCACAGCAGTATATTTCTCTTTTATATGATCAGTACCAGTGCAAGTAAATACATCAGGAATGACAGATTGCTGCAAAAAATGTTTATTTGGCAAGGGAATCTTTTCAGTCGGGGAGCCTCGAGGGACATTATAGGGAGATTCCAATCTTAGCTCTTTGTACTCTAACTCTTCTGTTTACTTTTTAATATAAAAGTGATATGATCAGCTCATCATTCCAAATTCAGGGTTTACTTACTTAATTTGAAAATTTCTTTAAAATTTGTAATCAAATTCTTAGAATCAGCGTAAAAGCTTACCGTTAATTTGGATGAAAATATAATGCACTTTGACCTTTTCTTGTCACTGTTTAGGGTGCAAATGCTCTGGTAACTTACACCATCATCAGTGGTGCAGACGACAGCTTCCATATCGATCCAGAATCGGGAGAGTTGATAGCCACCAAGCGTTTGGACCGAGAACGCCGTTCTAAATATTCTCTGCTAGTTCGTGCTGATGATGGCCTGCAGTCTTCAGATATGAGAATAAACATTACTATTAGTGATGTTAATGATCATATACCCAAGTTCTCCAAACCTTGCTATTCCTTTGACATACCAGAAGATACCACTCCAGGTGAATAGTAGATGTCATTACTGTCCTTATCATTCCTGCTTCCTTGTGCTTTTAACAGCTGTAGTAACTCAGACTTCTTTGGAAATATTATGTTCTTGTGCGAATTCAGCAAATTTAATACCAGTTAAATAATGAACGACATTAAAAGAGCCAGGTATCTAGGCTTCACTGATTTGTGCATCAATTCTCTGCTAATGTCTTTGTTTACTGCACACTATGGACTCGCTGCCCTTGTCCCATAAAACTCTTAAATTGCTACTACAATTACTACAATTTGAAGTTGTCACTCTCAAGAGATAGGCAAATATATGCACATTATTATCCAAAAGTTAGCTTGAACTAGCCCAGCTCTCTTTCTTCCAAGCTTGTACAGGTGGAGGAGCCAGAATAAGTTCACTAGATTCCCTTTGTTTCTTTTTCTTTTTAAAAAAATATCCTTCTTTGACTGGCATAAGAACAGAATTTAGAATGAGTGAAAACACATCTGAAGCACTATATAATATTCTGTTTCAAGTATGAAGAGAAATTCAAAACCAGAAAGTATAGTGATTAGCTGCTGACCATTTAAAACATCTCGCTACATATCAGGAGCTCTTGACACACCTATGCATAAGAGGCTGCGAAAGGAGGTTACGTTATCTCTTTGAAAAAGTTATAAATCTGAAATTATACTCTCAGAGGTCTATGAGGAAATAGGGTAGTACACCATATTGAAACATGGTCGTTCCTTAAAGGAGTTTTACTGGACTTATCTTGAACACCATTTTCCCATTAAGAACATAACGGTATCATGCTTTTTTTCAAGGAGGAAAAAAAGTTCAACTTCAGTTAAAATTTTGCTGGGCAGAAATTTTGGTTTGAATATATATTCAATGGCTTTGTTCTCGCATAACACTAAACTATGGATTAGTAAAACATTACCCTTCCAACTCTACAGTTCTACGATTCTTTGACATAGTATGGGTTGCTGGCAATGAACAAACTATAGTTAAGCTGCTGCGCAGAGTTCACA